ACAATCATTTTCCCTCGGACGTAGGGGGGAAAAAAATCCCTGAAAGACGAAGAAACGAGTGTAATTAAGTTTGGCCACCATGTCATTTAAAATGACATTAGCAATAACAAATCAGAAAACAATAAAAGATGAGAACAAAGATAAACTAAAAGGCTTTCATGGTTTTGACGATTGGAAATGGATTTGAATGTGTGCATTATTTGTTAGCGATACATGCACAGATGTGTGTGTGTGTGTGTGTGTGCGTGCATGCTCGCGAGTCGAGACTTTCTGAGTGGGCGTTTGTGTGTAATCAAGTACGTCAGGTCGTCATGAATGGTGTGTTTGAGACAGAGCGGAGTGTGGAGTTCCTTGGGCTGGACCAAATTGGAAACAGAAAAACAAACATTCCCTCGGAACCTCCCCCCCGCTCTCCTCCTCCCCCCACCGATCCCTCGTCTGCTTGCTAGTGGCGCAGTCCAACCTGTCTGGAACAATGTAATGTTCTATAGTCAGACCGGACCACACACGTTCATGGAAGAGAGGGTTTGGGGGGGTTGAATCCCAGCCACAATCGCAGTTGGAAAAACAGACAGAAAGAAGCATTTAAAAATGACGAGAGAGCCTAGTGACTGACTGATGGGAGGAAAAGGGAGATGGAGGTGTGTTTAAACCCATGAGGTGTGAAAACGAGAAGAGCTGAGTTTAAAAATCTTAGAATGGAAGTGTGGAGTAAGGAAAACACGAAATGGAACAAAAACAATATTTAAAGGTCATGCTCCCCGGGGAACCGTGTAATACTTGTTCTTTAAGAAATATGATCGGTAACTCTGAGCTTTGCATGCATGCAGAACATGAAAAATGTCCTCAAACCCTACTTCCTGCATTAGCCGCAGAAAGGAAATGGATGGAAAAACGCTCGGGTCAGAAAAAGCCAGAAAGCCGTACATGACGGGAAAAATTAGCTTTCCTGACCCTGCCCACCTTGGCTTGCGAACGCGGGAAAGAAAGAGCAGAGCACATTTCCTACCTGCAAACTTGTCGCTTTCTGGCGGAAACATGATTTTTGAAGCCAAATATGGCATTAAATAAAGACCGGAAGAGTTTTTGTTTGAATGGAAGGGGTGTTTTTTATGGGAGTGAATTTTCAGAGAGAGGAGGGGCGATTCATCCTCTTCGCAAAGTATCTTTGTTGTGTGTCGTCATTTGACCAACCCGACGTGGAGACGGTATGTTGCTCACAGAGAGTCTGACTACTGTCGTTCCACCATCTTAAAGTTCTTCAAATAAATAATTAAATAAATAAATCACCACTAAGTAACACGGCTTTCTGTGAAGGACTTTAGCAGGTTTGCTTCCTTTCAGCCTTTATAGATGTGGTATTTTTTTTATTTTTTTGGGGTTGAGTTTGGAGTTTAACATGCACACAGGCTAGTAGGTAGGGCTGGGCGATATGGCCTCAAAACTATATTGCGATATAGTCTGAAGCATGTACGATAACGATATTTATTGCGATATATTTTTTCCATCCATCCGTTTTCTGAACCCGCTTTGTCCATGGGGGTGGGAGTGGGGGTTCTGGTGTCTATCTCCAGCGGTCAACGGGCAATCGGGTGGGGTACACCCTGGACAGAGAGCCAGTCCATCGCAGGGCAACACAGAGACACACAGGACAAACAAACAAACACACACACACTCGCACACCTAAGGATAATTTAGACAGACCAGTTAACCTAACATGTTTTTGGACTGTGGAAGGAAGCCGGAGTACCCGGATAGAACCCACGCATGCACAGGGAGAACATGCAAACTCCATGCAGAAAGATCCCAGGCCGGGAAGCGAACCCAGGACCTTCTTACTGCAAGGCAACAGCTCTAACCACTGCGCCACTGTGCAGCCTATTTATTTTTTCCTCATATGTCAAAATGACATGCTTTTAAAAATCCTCCTACAGCAAATATGTTGCAGCAGAATAAAGATGTCCAAAAAGTGCAGAATGCTCCTCTTTTGTCCCAATGTTGACGCAGGTGCACATCTTAGTGACTCGTGTGTTACCGCAATATCTCGATAGAGCCAAAAACTATCATTTCCCAATGTTATATTGTTTCTACCTTATATTGTTTATATTGCCCACCCCTACTAGTAGGCTAGTAGACATTAACCATTAGCAACTTCATGCCACAGCGGAATATTTTTAGCCAATTAAGAAGAGTAAACAAAGGCAGCAGAAGAGTTGCCCTGTTAGCCAGTCAGAGGCGAGACCTTTACATATCATAAATATTAATAAGCATTTCTGCCCCCTACAGCAAAGTTATTGACCTAACAAGTGAGCAAGAACCTTTATTAGGAGCTCAAATCAATAATTGTGCTGTTACAAGCGTAGGCAAGTAGCTCCTACTTTATACCATTATGTTGAAACAACAGGAAGTACAGGTGCTGGCCAGTAAATTAGAATATCATCAAAAGGTTGAAAATATTTCAGTAATTCCATTCAAAACGTGAAACTTGTACATTATATTCATGCAATGCACACAGACCAATGTATTTCCAATGTTCATTACATTTAAATTTGATATTCATAAGTGACAACTAATGAAAACTCCAAATTTGGTATCTCAAAAAATTAGAATATTCTGAAAAGGCTGAATATACTGTAGAAGACACCTGCTGCCACTCTAATCAGCTGATTTACTCAAAACACCTGCAAAGGCCTTTAAAAGGTCCCTCAGTCTTGTTTTGAAGGCACCACAATCATGGGGAAGACTTCTGACTTAACAGCTGTCCAAAAGACAATCATTGACACCTTGCACAAGGAGGGCAAGACACAAAAGGTGATTGCTAAAGAAGCTGGCTGTTCGCAGAGCTCTGTGTCCAAGCACATTAACAGACAGGCGAAGGGACGGAAAAAATGTGGTAGAAAAAAGTGTACAAGCTCTAGGGATAACCGCACCCTGCAGAGAATTGTGACGACAAACCCATTCAAAAATGTGGGGGAGATCCACAAAGAGTGGACTGCAGCTGGAGTCAGCGCTTCAAGAACCACCACGAGGAGACTCATGAAAGACATGGGATTCAGGTGTCGCATTCCGTGTGTCAAGCCACTCTTGAACAAGAAACAGCGGAAGAAGCGTCTCGCCTGGGCCAAGGACAAAAAGGACTGGACTGATGCTGAGTGGTCCAAAGTTATGTTTTCTGATGAAAGCAAGTTCTGCATTTCCTTTGGAAATCAAGGACCCAGAGTCTGGAGGAAGAGCGGAGAAGCACAGAATCCACGTTGCATGAGGTCCAGTGTAAAGTTTCCACCGTCAGTGATGGTGTGGGGTGCCATGTCATCTGCCGGTGTTGGCCCACTCTGTTTCCTGAGGTCCAGGGTCAATGCAGCCGTCTACCAGGAAGTTTTAGAGCACTTCATGCTTCCTGCTGCTGACCAACTTTATGGGGATGCAGACTTCACCTTTCAACAGGACTTGGCACCTGCACACAGTGCCAAAACCACCAGCACCTGGTTCAAGGACCATGGTATCCCTGTCCTTGATTGGCCAGCAAACTCGCCTGACCTTAACCCCATAGAAAATCTATGGGGTATTGTGAAGCGGAGGATGCAATACGCTAGACCCAACAATGCAGAGGAGCTGAAGACGACTATCAGAGCAACCTGGGCTCTCATAACACCTGAGCAGTGCCACAGACTGATCGAGTCCATGCCACGCCGCATTACTGCAGTTATTGAGGCAAAAGGAGCCCCGACTAAGTATTGAGTGCTATACATGCACATTCTTTTCATGTTCATTCTTTTCAGTTGGCCAACATTAGAGAAACAAACATTTTTTCATTGGCCTTTAGAATATTCTAATTTTCTGAGATACCAGATTTGATGTTTTCATTGGTTGTCACCTATAAATATCAAATTTAAATGTAATGAACATTGGAAATACATTGGTCTGTGTGCATTGCATGAATATAATGTACAAGTTTCACGTTTTGAATGGAATTACTGAAATATTTTCAACCTTTTGATGATATTCTAATTTACTGGCCAGCACCTGTATTTCTTTATTCCTGTGCGTTCGGGGTAAGTCAGGATATTACAGCCTGGAGAAACCGTCTGGATGCACGAGTGCTGTCTCTTTGGGCTCTCTGCTTGCATGTAGTCCTCACAGATCAATGCTGAAACTGTTCAAACAAGGTCAGCCAGGGATGTGAGACAAAAACCGTAAAAGATATGCATTTAAGTATCTTCGTTCCTCCCCTTTTATAGGATGGGAGTGTCCTCAAAATGACTCATGATTTCAGTAATGACTCAGCATGCAGAGTCCTTTTTTTGCCTCCTGAACAGAAGATATTCACTTAAAAAGAAAGAAAGAAAAACACCAGTTCTGGTGTGTTTAATGCTCCATCTCCCGTCCAAACTAACCAGGGTTAGGACTAGAAGCAGGTAAACCACAAAAGGTGAGTTCTGTTTCACACGTGCACGTATTTGCCAAACGGTCCCTAGGAAACAGATATCGATTTGAGCCGAGGAAGAATGAATTGATGGAAAGACGAAGGAGGGGTGGCACAAGCTGGGAGGGTGGGGCCATTTCTGTGGTTGGGGCAACAAAAGGGGGGCAAAGACGTTTTATTGCTAGAGTTACAGGATAAAGGAAATATTATTGTCGGTGGTCGTAGCCGTTGGAGACTGCGTATAACAAATCCCTGGAAATGACTCATTAATGACCATCTTGTTCTGACTCCATCAGCATTAGTTAGGAGATTCTGGATTTGATTGGATTCTGCCTCCAGCCGTAACTTCACTCCTTTTTTATTTTCTTTAATGTTTTACCTAAATTTAATGAAGGCGTTTGCTCCATCAAGCCCAGACTTGCCTCTAAAGTTAAAAAAGTTTGAGTGAAACCTATAATTAATACATCTACTCTGCAATTTTAAATAAAACAGCAAAAAAAATGGGGAAAATGCCAAAAATGGCCTCGTATCTTCTACAGAAAGGGCTCTAAACTTACTTTTCTTTTTCGTTTTCCAGGTTTGTGTGGGGAAAACGAGAGAGCAGCCCATCCTAACTTTTCTGACACGGACTCGGATGATTAAAGTCAAAGCCGGAGCGATAGACAGAAGAGGTCCAACAAGCCCTGGACTGAATGCAGCTGATGCTGCTGATAGCGGAGCTTTTTAAACACCAAGCAAGGAAGCTGAACACTGATTACTCCGATGCTCATGGACCTGTGTGGAGTGTTGCAGATTTAAAGAGATGGAGGAATAACAGTTTGGGTCTGACACCTGGTTCCTGCTTTCCTTTTTGTTTTTTTTTTGGAGTACTGACGCACAGCGGTAGCCTGGACGGACTGCTACGGTGCCGGGGAGAATAAAGGTGGTTAGTCAGGGCTGATGCTAAAGCCAGGAGCGAGCCATGATGTTCTTATAACCTGATGATCAACGGAGGTAAGATGTGCTCAAATTCACTTGATTCTTTAACTCAGCTTTATTGAATTGGTCATCAAACCAAAATTAAAAGGTATTTAATTAAATTCTTGCTGTTAAGTCATTATATTATTTCTGCTTATTTTCCAAAAGTCTTTTATCAGATTTTGGTTTTCAAACTTCTTATTTCACTACTAAAACTTTTCTCCTCAATCTAAAATGTATTTTAAATAAAATGATTGAAAAAGTATTGGATATTTACAGATTTCCAGACAATTAATTGCTTTATTAAGATTCTGTGAAAATCTTGACTGTAAATCATTAAATAAAAATTTTCCAGTGCTTTATATCAGAGGAACGAAATTGCCCTTCCCTTTAGGACGATCATTTTATTACATAAAAATTCGGTGTAATCAGATTTTTTTACATATATATTTTATTTGTGTCCGAACCGACTCATCGACGGTGATTATGATGATGTCACAGACGATTTATTAATTAGAAAATGTATTAACGATGCATTTTCACATGGAATAATTAGCTGAATGTGAGGCTAATGCTAGCTTGTTTTTGTGTTGTTTGTGATTTTGATCAAACTTGTCAACAGCTTACGGAAATGTCTTATCTTCCACATTTGTTTGGATTTTTCTCAGCCATAAACTTTGTTTACAGTAGAATTTTGAGACGCTTGCAGCACACCTCTTGTCCTCAGCTCACCGTAGCGTCCCTCTCCCTCCCATCTGTCCACTCCATCACACCCTGCAGTCAGAAAAGACTCTAGAAATACAGTTTCTCATTCATTCAGATTGTTGATCAAACCGTGATGGATTCTGGTTGAATTTAAACTTTACATACACTTTTTCCTGTGAATGGGCCAGAATTCTTTGTTTAAAAAAATAATCACAAACATTGTTATGCCTGTTTGCCTTTTGGCAGTTTAACTCCCCTCTCTGTTTGAAGATGGCGTACCAGATCGTCCACTACTCGACTGTGATGCTTATCTGAGCTGGAAAGCTTTTTATAGTCATACTGTAGGAGGAAGTGACTGCATGTTGTCCGCGTGCTTTAAGCTTCTCGCTGATGAGCAGAAGAAGTTGTCTCAAAGCCAAACTTACCTGCTCCTCCATCGGGTCCATTCTGCTGCTTTCCAGTTCAGCAGCCCCTCGTTAGCTGAGCTCGTTAGTTCCTCTTTGTTAAAATTAGCAGTAGCATCTCGGTCAGTTAGCTGGCTAATGCATAACGCTTCAGCTAAACGTGCAAGTAATTCCTAACTAGTCATTTTTTGAGAACAACTTAGATTTCCTCTTCTAAACTCTGAACACACAATTGAACCAGTGACACTTGAACTGGGATGCTTTTAAGTTGGAAGAAGATGCTTAAACTGATCATTTGATGCTCTCGGGGTCGAGCCTGCTTTTGTTTTTTTAGTACGACTGCACACACACACGCACGCACGCACGCACACACACACACACATGTAGGTGGATGTTCTACAGGAAATACAAATACATTGGAAGTTATTATGTCAGCGTGGGGCGAGCTGCAGTGGTTTGTGGTGTAAAGTGCATCATAATTGTAGTTGAAGCTACTGTTTTCTCCTAAAATGCTGCTTGTGATTGTAAATTTGGTGCAAATTGTTGAAAAAAGACAGAATATCTTGATTTCCCATGTTTTGTCTTTACTGGATAATTAGATTGATTCATAATTATAATGTCATTGCTGATTAGAAACATGGAAAGTTTGTGCATAACCAATTTTTTTTCTTACTTCTTAATAATCAAACAAATTTCCAATAAATCTAATAAAGTTTGCACACATTGAAGCGTACATTTGGTATTTTGTACCTTTAGAAAGTGTTGGATTGTTCTGGTTAAATTATTAGCCCCCGTTACAGTGACTCTTCTTCTGCACCGTTGAGTGCAAACACATGTGTGTCCGTGATGGAGTGCATGTTTGTATGTTTTTCATTATGTGGTATTGTGGTTTTGCTCGGTGATGTTATTCAGTAGGGTGGATTGCTTTGAGCTGCTTGATGCTTCTCGACATGGTTTTGATTGTGTGTGTTCGACTCGGTCTACGCCTCTGAATGGACAAGCCCTCAGATGTCCACGGGTGCTCTCTCGTTTGTGTTTTTTGTGGCATCTGATAGTGCCTGTTATTAAATTATTTTGTTTGGTTTGTTTCAAACTCTGGAATGTTTGGTAGAGATAATTCATCCATCCACAAAAGAGCTTTTGACATTCACACAAACATTCAGAAGTTTAACTTCTTCTCTCCGTGTTGTCTGTCTGGTTTGGAAGAAAATGTGCCAGCTTGCTGTCGTCGACTACCTGTTGACCCTTTTGCACAAAATGGGTCAGAACAGCTCGTTGTGCCCCTGATCATTTCATCTTTTGGCAGCTTTACGGAAAGATGTATGGTTTTTAGTTTGCCACAAAACTTTTTCTTCCTGTGTGTCACTTTGTTCAGTTTCCCCCAAATCGCAAAAACGACTAGTAGTTGTCTTTTGTTTTTCAATTAAAGACTACTGATTACGCAAACAGAGGGTGCGTCGCCACACGTCATGGCAATTACTGACTTAATTTGTTAGTCTACTGAAGATCGACTGGTTTAAAGGACACACAATCAATCAAAGAGATCAAAGTGGCAGATGTGCGTTTGTTGCTGTTGCTTCTGTTTTCAACAAGAAGACACACAACAATCTGAATTGGTGTGATACTACAAGTCAGTTAGCAAGTCATACCTGAAGGTCTGCATAAGTCGGGGTTTCAAACCCACAAAAATTTTCCGGAACTTGGCGTTGCTTTGAAGTGCTGTCTTTTTATGAGTCATCAAAAACAGAAGGTGTGGCGTAGAGCAACACTTCTCCTCAGGTCAGTACAAACTGATTTCTGTCTTGGCTGAGGGAGTTGAACCACCTGAAGGTTTTTCTTTGGGTCTTTTTGTTGCTGGTTACTAAAATGTTCATCACGATCACATATTGTGTGTCCAAGCCCTATTCAGATAGACATTCTGGAACATTTGTGGACAATTCAATCCGGTTTTTAACCGGAACTGTGTTTTCAGACACACCACTTTTGTACTGGAACTTGTCCTTTCGGCTGCCTTCACACAGCAGGGAAATGTTCCAGATGTCTGGCGGTGGGGGGGTGGGGGGTGGGGGAATCGGACTTATGTTAAGAAGAAGAAGAAAATATCATTTCTATAGCACCTCTCAAGATAAAAATCACGAGGCGTTTAAGCATAATTCGGCGCACACGAAGACGCATAAGAGACCTGGATGATGAAGCTCAATGGTTAAAGGAATCACTGAAGCGGTGTGAAGCGCTCCGTCGTGCGTCTAGACGGTACCGTAGGAGGCGAGCTGCTGTGGTTCGCCGCATGCTACAGCAGCGGGCTATCTAGGTGCGCACAGCGTCCCCCGGTCCCCTCCTCCTCCCCTCCCCCTTGTCTGGAACTCTACTTCACCAGTCTGAAGCAGCCACCCTGTCCGTAACAAGTCCGGACCTGTTACTAGGGGCTTCGTCCGGATAAATTCCGGAACACGTTATCCGGATGTTTGTATTCAGACACAAAGGTCTTACGGACAGAGTCCGGAACATTTCCGTTTTTCATGGCCTGTCTGAAGGGGGCAGATTGCTACACAGCTTAACTCTTGTCTCTTTGCCTGTCCACCCCGTTTCTAATGCAGGATATCATCTGTTGTGCCATGAATAAAAAATGTTGAAACTACTTAGCAGGAGGAGTATCTTAAGACCCTTTCTGTGCCCTGGAACTCAGATGCACCAAACCGTCAGCCTAAGTTGTTAGAACGGGACAGTTTTTGAAATATTATAAAGAATTGTGTGTGCCACGCCCGATACGGCCAGAAGTGTCGTCCATACCAACTGGGATTTACTCTGATCTGTTAAAAAAAAAAGATGCATTTTGTCTGTAATAGTTCCAAAATGGTGAAGTTCATGGTGTTATTACTCAACACATAATTTAAATGAGGCTTAAGTGATCATGTGACTTACCCCTACTTCACACTTGGAGGTAAGTGGAATGGTTCATCCGCGTGCTTCGCTGTGCTCAAATCCACACCGGGAGGGTCTTAGCTGGGGAGCGGCTTCTCCACCGTCCTCCTCGCTGGTCTCACGAGATCACCTCGAGAATTCAAAGGTCACAGTTTGTTTATGCCATTAAACCAAAAAGAAGTAGGACATGAATTTTGATATCACTGTTGCCATAAAATGACAGGATTAAAGCCATGAAAACCAAACCACTGTACTTTTTGAAAGATGCAGGGAGGAAATTAACCGTTTCGTATCGACGTCATCTACATAGATATGAAATGTCGCTGCAATAGTCTTATTTTGAAAATGACTGGACGTTTTACACTGAAACCATGTGTGATTTCCAGTTTAGCCCTATGTTAACTGTGGAAGTTAAACGACTCGCGGCAAAATAAGAGCCCGATTCCATCGTTATCAGTGCTGCGTTCTGCTTAAGGGATGCGTCTGGAAATGTGCTCGCTACAGCCAGTCTGGATCAACCCATACTATAATGGTTCTATTTGAAGTGGCGGTGTTCTGCTGCCTTTGCGTGCCGCTGATGCCTCCAGTGTGAAGTAGGGGTTACCTCTACCACTCCTGATTGAAGTTGTTCCTTATTGTGGCAAAATCGTAATACTTTCAACAGCATCGTATTGGTTGACTTTGGACATATTCACTTGTAGTTGAGTGTGATGTTGTATGCATTTATGTTTATGGCATATTTTGTCACACTTCATTACAAATCTGTAACAAAAAGAACCGTACACCATTTGGATAACGTCAAAAAATATATAAAAAGCTATTTTCCTACCCTTAAAAATAAAATCGGCAAACAGTAAACTAACTGTGGGACATTCAGCGTACCAGTAAACGGGTAAATAACTGTTCTGGGAAACCCTTCTAAAGAAATTCTTCCAAGTGTCACCTGTTTGTGTACTTAGTCTGTGGGGACGGCTTTACTCCGCCAAACCGTGGGGTAGTTTTTAG